ATCTGCGCATCACATGACGGCGCTTGGGAATTAACCCAGCTCCTTCCCCCGGTGCAGTTTCTCCTTCCACCGCGCTACAATAAGCGAGCGCTCGCAAGGCAGCAGCCCAGCGCGTCGCCTCGGGCCCCCGTCGCCCGCCCGCACCTACCTGCACGCGCGTGGAGAAACCCGGGCGGCTTTCGTCGGGACAACGGCCCCGAGCGCGGAAGACCCAGCGCCGCTGTGCTGAGCGAGGAGATCCTCGGTTTCGCGTAGGGGCTGAGGAATGTCTAACGCTAACGAGATCCAGATGTGCCCGCTTGGCAGCCCGCGGATGAAGCACTACCGAGGGGACGCAGGAGCCGCGCTATCAAGTTGGATGTAAGTATCTAGTATTTACGTCCGATCAGGGCGGGGGACAGTTAGACTGAAAGCAATGCAAACCGGAGACTCTGCTGTTGTCGCGCCTTCGTTTTCTTCCATCCCGTGGGCTTTTCTGCGTGCGGTGCCGTTGCTGCAGTGCTCTTTACGAGCAGCCACGCAGCAATCTGGATTTCGATCGTTAACGCGCAGCGGAGCGAGCTACAGGCTCCGAACGCGCAGCCTCTGGCCCGCTGCGCGCGGCTCGTGCTTTGCTCTGCGTGTTGTATGTTGTTTCTCCAGAAGCGAGTCTGGGGCTTTTGCTTAGAGCGGCTCCAAGGCCGGGTGTTATTTCTAATTGTGAACGTATTCGGGAATCGGCACGTTGCGCTGCAAGATGGTCTTCTTCAGTACAGGGACGTGATTCTTCCCACGGTGTTGCGCTATTGCACGCGTTAAACAAAGCTCATAGGAATGTTTAAGCCGTCCGGTATAGTAAAAAGAGGAGGGAAAAAAAAGTTCAGTTCCAATGAAACAGGAAGTTACTTATCACATTTTTTAAACAACTTTCAGCCAGACCCCGATAAACTCATACCTTGGGTATCATCTCAAAATTAGTGGAGCAATTCAGCGTGAACTCCCTCTTAACGCGCGTGTCTGGCCGTAACAATACGTCCACGTTAGTGCATTTTAATTGCTGGTTTTTTGGTGGCACGTAGGCAAATAAATGGGATGGCCCGTGTATCAGCTCGGCAGAGGCCGCAGGAGCGGCAAAGGCAGCGAGCACGGCAGACCGGGGACGGCTGGGCCGCGGCTCCCCCGGGGGCGGTTTTTTGGGTGACGCCTCCCCC